GCTCCGACCCCAACGTCAAGAACAGAGAAGGTAAGACTGCTTTGTTCGAGACCATCATGGCCGCAAGAGTGGATCTTCTCACTGCTCTTCTGGACCACGGCGCCAACCCTAACCTGCCCGGTCCCAAGCACATGCTTTGGCCCGCGACCTATCAGGCACCTTGCTTGAAGGTCCTTCTGGCTCGTGGCGCTGACAACAAGCGTGCACCCGGCAACATGGAACTCGCTGTCAGTATCAACAACATCGAGTCTGTCCGTGTCCTGCTTTCTGCCGGCGTCTCACCCAACATCAAGAAGGATGGCATCTACACACCGTTGTGCACATCCATCCGCGACAACCGCGCAGACATCTTTGAGCTGCTCTTGACCAGCGGTGCCGACCCCAACCTCAACTCCGCCGAGTACCCCGCGTTCAAGTGTGTCACGCACTTCCGTACACACTTCCTCCCTCGTCTGGTCGCCGCCGGCAACGACCTCCACAACCCTAAGGGTATCATCGAGATGGCCGTCAGGGTCAACAACATGGAGGCCCTCAACTGGCTCCTCGACCAGGGCGTCAGCCCCAACGACAAGGGCGATGACGGCAACACCCCTCTGACGACCGCCATCAAGGAAGGCCGCATGGAGATGCTCGACGAGCTGATCGCTCACGGCGCTGACCCCAACGTCCGCGGCAGCGACTGGCCCATCGTCATGTCCGTCAATTACCCCGAGGTTCTCGAGAAGCTTCTCCCCGCCGTCCCCGACATCCGCTCCTTCAAGGGTCTGATGGAGCGCGCTGTCGTTGCCAACCAGCTCGAGAGCGTCAAGCTCCTCCTCAAGGCCGGCGTGTCCGTCGAGGACAAGAACGGCGGCGTCTTCTCGCCCTTGACCTCTGCCATTCGCGAGGACAACAAGGAGATCACCCAGTTCCTCATCGAGGAGGGTGGCGCCGACATCAACGCGCCCGGCGAGCACCTGCCCATCGTCAAGGCCGTGCGCCGGTGCCGCGGTGACGACACAGACATCCTTGAGCTGCTGCTCCGCAATGGTGCCGATGTCAACAAGATCTACCGTGGATGGAACGCCATCTTCCAGGCCGTCGAGAACGGCGACGCCAAGGTCCTCAAGCTTCTCGTCGAGGCTGGTGGTGTCGACCTCGATGCCAAGGACGATGCTGGCCGCACTGTCATGGAGATCGCGGCCGGTCGCGGTTGGGAGGAATCTGTCGGTATCATCCTCTGGGACGGCAAGAACAAGTCGTGATCCCTCCAACGCGTCTTGTCTTGAAGCTTTCTTTTCTTTCTGTCACTCTCACGTGTAACTGACTCAACGCCGAGGAATGGCGCAACTTTCTACTTTCTTTTGTAATGTCCATGTACGAGATACGGAGGATGGAGTGGGTAACTGAAGTTTTCTCATGTAACATGGCGGGGCTTTATGATATCAGATTGATTTGTTCTTCTAATGCGCCTCGATATCATCTGTCTTTCTTCACTTCTATACCTCCCTGTTTAGACTCTGGATCTTTCAATACCTGATCACCTAATTGAATCTCAATACCACTTCCATATGATCTCCACACATGGCACTCGTGAATAAGCCCCCGTCCTGTAGTAACTTCACTTGGTTATGTCCAGTAGTGTCTGAGACGGTCCATCTCTAGTGAATTCTTTATCTGCTTAGTTGTTCATGCATTTTACACGAAATTTGCCCTGTACCACCACCTACCCATCATCAAACCACAGCAAAAGATCATCTCCTGGGGTCAACAAGCAAAATGAATGCCTCGTGGCGGAATCGAACCGCCGATCTTCTCATGTCACCAATACTAGTGAGACGCTATACCACTTAGCCAACAAGGCTGATTAGACTGCATCGCTCGTATGCTTGCTGACGGGGCGAGGAATTGCAGGTTCATTTGTCAAGATCGCTGATGCTGTGGGCTGGCGATGGGTAGGGCCGCGGGGCGGGTGCTTTCGTCCCACCAACCCACTCGGCTCACGATGGAGACATCTGAGGGGCAAGGGTTCGACGTTGTGGTCGGCCACAATTCGTTAGTTACCCGTGCATGAGCTGGCCCTCAACGGGAGGTGGTTTAAATGACACGGGTAGAAATTTGAGCAAGTTGGGCAGGATGAAAACCGCTCATTTCCCATATATGTGAAATTTCGTGTATTGTTCTATCTAGTGAAAGGAGTGTACGCGTATTCAATGCTTTGGAAGGAGGAGGAAGGTTGTGTATGTGATGGTGGGTTGATCTAAGATTGATGAAAGAAAATTGATGGCCACTTCCTGTGAAATCTGGTCCTTGCTTTGATATAAGTCGAACCTAGCCCAGTTACCTAACCAAGATCAGCACAAGTGTCTAGAATTCTGATATCAGTGTCACTACATACCGACATCTCTATTTTGACGGGCAAATTTGATTGAAATAGGTGCCATATCCAAGCCGCTGCTTAAGCCCTGGAGGCAGCAGCTTTGGGAAGTTGACATTTTGGGCATGTCGTAGCAGTCGATGGCGGCGAGGTTGCAGGACACTGGCACATCTTGGAGGGATCCGAGAGCGCAGTGATGACCGAAACTGGAACGATGGGACCAGGCATATTGGTTGACGAGTGTTTGTGAGTGGTGGATTGATCTGGGAAGATATTTATGGAAATTGGAAACAAGACTGAGTTATCTGAAGGTCTTGGAATTGAAGTGAAGTTATTCTGCTTGATGTTGTCGGGATCTAGTTTCAAGAGCCACTGTCGTCGTATTTATACCGATTTATAGACAGTCACCAGCTCTTGTCGTTACGTGAGGTGAAGGTTTACGATATGACTAGCCACCAGACCATATTCTGACCGAGATGACAAGCAGGACTTGGAAAGGGGGCCAACGACATGAGACTTCGCCTTTGGGAAATAATTGAGAGAAACAGGGGTCATCAGCCCTACAGGGCAGCGAACTTGCAGCTTGCTACACCGAGACACGATGTATCCGTAGCCTCGGTTCGATGAATCCTTCTCATATGGGCTGCCGCCGCTAGTAAAGGCAGTCATCAAGGTGAGTCGTACAGCCTGATCCACGTAATGGGTCAACAAAGTCCTAGATAATGGGGAGCTGCTCATTGCCATTGGCCTAAGGGCAGCGAAACTGACTGACAGAAGACGGGATAGGTTGGCTTTGGATTTCAGACTCCCAGTCGGGCCGTCTGAACGAGGTCGGTTGCTGAGGCTAGCCTCGTGGCTTGGTACATCGTCAGAAGATTCGAACACTTTTTGCATGTTGAAGAGAGATGAGTATGTTCATCAACAGCGAATCATAGAGACAAGCAAGCAATTCTACACCAAGACCACGCCGTAAAAGTGGATGATTCTCATTCCTGAATGTTAGTTCAGCTCGAGATGTTTCTTCAACAGAGTTTCAATTGACGATGCACGCTGTACTGTGGCAAAACCCGAATTACTAAGCTCATGAGAATATAATCTTGAGTGTCGATTGCCCTTTTGGGTAAATCTACGTTGAGCCGCAGGCTGAGAGCCAAGAGAAAAGAGACCAGTTTCCCGAATAGGAAATTGTACGTCGCAGAGGCATAACCGAGGCGGCATGGCCAATTGCGCATTTTGATTCGTTCCCGAAGAGAAAAGCATCCCTTGAGGACTCAGGAGGCTGATTTAAGCGTCTTACTGATTGTCCATGGACTCGGGCGTGGGGGCGAAAACAACTCAGTCTAACAGATTACAGGGCCAGGCACCCAGTGTTTTCTGTCGTGCCACAGGGTTGCCTTTGCTGACACACGTAGGGCTGAGCTGAGATTTATCACGAGGCAGAATGCACTGCAAAGATCGATCATGCACGATGAATTTCCTGAACGGGGAATAGAGATGCTGGCTATGCCGGGGCCGTTCATGAGGCCCTCAAGAGTAGGGAACTCGACCGAACGTAAGCGTGGGGGAAAGTGGGATGCCGGAGAGGGGGTGTTTTTAAGAGGCCCTCGCTGGTTATGCTATTTGACTTACCTTATTCGAGGCCGCCAGAGTTCCTATTTCTCTACTGTGCTAGGGATGCTGTAAATGCAACGATAATTAGAGAAACTTTACTATGTCCCTTCCAACTTCTCTCTGACGGCTGCGTTCATCAGGTTCTACATTTCGCAGATGTAGAGTCATTCTAGATCCATCCCGTTGCGAGATACCAGACTCGTGCAAGTATGGAAGCCTCGAGTCTCGGACTCTGGAAGCCACCTCCACACGCCAACGAGCCTCTAGAAGACTAAGCACGGATGGCTGAGACATTTCTGCGAAGACCTTTTTCTTCTTCGTATTCTGGCCATTCATGATTCACTATTTCACTGCAATGCACTCATCAGAGGTATTCCCATGTGGCAGAAGTGCATACACTCCGCGCGTAAGGTAGCAGATGAGGTGGTGAGAGAGCCCCTCATTCAAGACGGCCAACTCCAACCTCGGTCACAGCATCGCAGCAGTCAGAATCCGTTCACTCTCACTTACATCAATGTTTCGCCTGGGGGCATGTGTGCTACAAGACCCTGTGCCTTCATGACAGCAGTCTAGCCAACGTTTGAGGCCTTCCCGGGGACGCTCGCGTCGCCTCGCTGTCTCAGCCACGCGTCTCCGTGGGACCAACCCCCAAAACTGATGGTTGCGGAAGTCAGACGTCCGACAGATGAGCACCTATGACTGACTCTGTAGATATCTTGAGAAATGACTCGAAGCGAATTTCCCTAAGCTACCACCGCCAAAGTTTCCCATCTGATATCTTGCCTTGTTAGGCGACGCAGTGATATGAGAAGTGCGGACATTATATTCCCGCATTACCATGCAAGTCAGTGACCCAAATTTACGAAGAAGCTGAGTTTTGATTTCTACTGACCATAGGAGAATAGGAGAGAGGCCCTCCGCATTCGCGACAGACACCCAGCTCTGGATGAGGAGATCATCATGGTAGTGTTGTGGGACTCCCAGTTCTGAATCCTACTTGTAAGGGCTAATGGTTATACCGGATATCAGCACATCCCCGATAGTCTAGTGGTGAGGATATCTGCTTGTCATTGAACAATCAACGATTCGCAGGGGACCGGGGTTCAATTCCCCGTCGAGGAGTCTTTCTTTTGCCTTTTTTTTTTTTTTCCTTTTTTTTTTGCATATCATTGATTCTTTTTACTTTTTCCTCAAGTTTTGCATCATTTTTGACGTGTTGTGAAAGAGAATGCATCAAATCGTGCGCGTGGTGTAACTCAGAGTGATGGGATGCATTGCATCAATTGAGTAGATACGTACTTTCGGGACCAACAATTTGCGCCAGGCGTCGTGTTCAGCTTGCATCTTCGTCCGTTCTCCAACTTCAAGTCGAGACGCCGGGGAATCCTGATCCCCCGCCTTTGCAACAAGAAGCGATAGTCCTGTATTAGATTGTATAGAGCAAACAGTCAGATCCTTCGTCCGTATCAGGAAGGTACAGTCTCGCGCACTGATCGCCACAATCAGGGATGCCTCCATCATCCATCGCCGACTCCGCACCGGCAAACTGCTCCGATGCGCTTATCGGCCACGGCAATGTCGTCCGACTTCTCATCCACTCTCATCATTGAAGTGTCGCCCAAACACTGAGAAAAGAACTTTGCTTTTGCTCTTCGCCTCTCCAGTGTGTCCTCACTCACTCCCAATTCAGCCTCTGCCAGAGTATGACACTCCGCAAAGCTCCCGCCCTGGCCGGCGCCGCCATGGAGATTCCCCGGCGCACTTCGCCGCGGCAATGGGCGGCAGACGCCGAGGATGCGATTCCGGAGAAGCTCATCAAGCCATGGAAGCTCCCCCAGCAAAACACTTACCTCTTTGTCAACGCGAATGTTGTGGATACCGCCAAGGGCCTCGTGATTAAGAACACGACCGTCAAGATCTCAAACGGCTTGATTGAGAGCGTTGGGGGGAGCTTAGCTGATAATACAGGCAACGATGCCATTGTGGTAGATCTGCAGGGGAAATACCTCTCCCCGGGTCTCATTGACTGCCATGTCCATGTCAGCTCCGTTCCTGGCGAGGCTGGCCTCGACGGCGGCTTCAACATGGATGCCACCGTCTCTCATCTGCGGCAATCTTTTGTCTGCGGTCGCATCCTCAGCAAGGGCTTCACCGCGGTCCGCGACACCGGCGGCGCAACTCTGGCACTCAAGGAGGCAATCCAGGACGGCGTCTTCCCCGGGCCTCGCCTGTTCATCGCCAACCAGGCACTCTCGCAGACGGGAGGCCACGGCGATCGCAGAGGCGCCCATGATCACTCGGGGCTGTGCTGCGGCGGCACGGCGGGACTATCTAACGTCGTGGACGGCGTGCCGGAGTGTATCAGGGCGACGAGGGAGCAGCTGAGGACGGGGGCGGACTTTATCAAAATCATGGTCGGCGGCGGCGTGGCGTCACCGACGGACAGGATCGAGAACACGCAGTTCACAGCAGATGAGATCAAGGCAATCAGCGAGGTCGCGCGGAGCTACGGTACCTGGGTTACGGCGCACGCATATACCCCGCGGGCGATCCGTCACGCGGTCGAGAACGGCGTGACGGGCATCGAGCACGGCAACTTCATCGACAAGGAGACGGCGGAGTTCATGGCTGAGAACGCCGTGTGGTTGACGCCGACGCTGGTCACGTACGACGCCATGGGCTCCGACAAGTACAAGGGATTCTTGCCCCCCGAGAACCAGCGCAAGAACCAGGAGGTCTTGGAGAGGGGCCTCGAGTCGTTGAAGATTGCCGCTGCAGCGGGCGTCACCATCTGCCATGGATCGGATCTGCTCGGTCCCCTACAAGCTGAGCAGAGCAGAGAGTTTGGCATCCGCCAGCAGGCTCTCAGCAACAAGCAGGTACTTCAATCTGCCACGGTTAACGCAGCCAGGATGCTTAGACAGGAGGATGTGCTGGGGCAGGTGAAGGAGAAGTTCGTGGCGGACTTGCTGATTCTCAACGGAAATCCGCTGGACGATGTATCGATCCTGGATGAGCCCGAGAAGAATGTCTTAGCGGTGATCAAGGATGGCAGGGTCTACACGAGCCGATGGAGCAAACTTCCAGAAGACGTCAAGGAGCTACCGCCACTGATTGAGTGAGCGCACATGCAGCAGACTGCGCCGGGAAACATTTCAATGAGCGACAGGAGAACAAATCCAAGAAGCGAAGAAGATTGTCGCTCATGGAATCGTTGGTCAAAATCAGGACATGATCGCAAGGGGTATTTCCGGTCGCCACTCACCACGTGAAAAGCAAGAGAAGTCGAGAACATTGAGGCTTTGATGATCTACAATGTTCTAATCTATATCTGGAACACTACTACTTCTGCTATACGTGACCTTGCTAGGCATAGTTGGTGCTGAATCACTTTGCTCGGCCTCCCGAAGATGCTGCTGCGACAAATTGTCCACAAGAACGAATCCGTCACTCTGGCGTTCGCTCCTCCTATTTGAGAGACCGTCGGACTTGCCATTTGAGCTGTAGTAGTTTGCCGTACCCTTGGTAGAGTACGAGGAACGGCCCAGCAAAGGTCGGAGGAAGGGGATGCAAGCGAGGGTGATGCCGACGCCGGGCTCTAGCGCGCTGAAGATGAGGGCGTTGGGGATGTTGAAGGTCACGTCGAGGTACACGAGGTTGGCAAGGTAGTAGAGACGCAGAGCCGATACGATGCACGTACTATATTGGCAACATGGTCAGTATATCCCCAATCCAGGATGGGGATTCCACTCGACTTACAAGACTCCGAGCGAGAAGGTGATGATCAGAGCGACCTTCTTGTACATCTCCAGCCGAAGACTCCACAAGTGAGAAATCGGCATCACGAGGACGATAATGTCAGTGATCATGTTCAACACCCCCATCGTGCCATCCGCCGCGGGCTGGTTCCCGCAGTGTCGGTTCTTGAGATCGAGGAGCCAGTTGTCCGAGAGGGGGATGCAGATGAAGAAGGCGATTAACACCGTGACCATGACCCACATCATGGTGAAGGCGGCCAGTATCCGCGCCGACAAGATCATGAATCTGGTGCTGAAGAGCTTGGAGTAGAGGAGGAGGATGGAAATCTTGCAGAGGCTGAGGCTGATGGCCCACAAGATTTGTTGCGCGACGAGGACCTAGAAGGAGGTGCGTCAACAACTACGCCGTGCTTCCTCGACGCGAGAGTTCGCACAAACCTTGAGGAATTTGATGATTGGCCCGACCCCATACTTGGGTATGATGACGGCATTGTGAAGGCCAACACCGCATTGCATCACAGCGACTATGGAGATTGCTTGCAAGGCATTGGAGAAGACCTGGCAAAGAAAAGTGAGTTGAAGTCCCCATCTGAACGCGCCGGAACATAATCCCATTGTTGGCGTGATGAGCAACTTACGAGTCCAGCAATAATAGACCAATCACTCAAATCCATATCTCTATGCGCCATGCGCCTGGCAATAAGGCGGAGGATCACCATCAACGTCGGAATGATGATGAAGACGATAGACACCGCAACCACAGAGATCTGGCCCGGTTCCTCCAGCGGAAATATCACCACCTTGCCTCCCATCGTCGGCGTCTTCGGTGCTGATGCCGCCATATTGTCGTCCCGGGAGGTTGCGATGGGAAGGAGACCTTGACCTTGTCGTCCACACTACGGTTGGATTATGCGGGAAACGGAGGTGGGACGAACATTCAAAGGTCCAAGCATCCAATCCATGAGAGCAAGACGCTTCATTTTTGAACCTCTCGAGGTCTGTCCCTCCCCCCCCCCCCCAGTTCCCAACGGCCCGAGAACTGGAACCCAGAACCTAGACCACAGACCTTTTCCTGCTCGTTTCTTTTTGGGGCGGGACACATCAGGTCACCCAATAGCCCCCGAAGTGATGGTTTTGTTTGCTTTTTCCTTTCCCACTGTGGGCACCAGAATGGCAAGCTGCATACCTTATCGACCGCAGTGCAGACGCTGTGCAGTTGTGACAGGGATCTGGACAACCCAGAGTGCCTAGAAGAGGAAAGGATAGAAATGCGGGTGTGGCCACCTTTGCTGCCACGCGATCAGAGGTCGAGGGTAACAGCAGAAATGCCCAGATTTTTTTTCCACTTCGTGAGAAACAGGCACTGCCAAGGACACAGGCTAACAAATGGGCTTGGAGGTGTGATGACTGCGCTGCGTCGTGCTTTAGTGGTATGAAAAAGTGGATACCTACAAACGAAATGATGCAAATGGGCGATGCTAAACATTGTGAATGTGATAGAAATCATGGGGGAAAACCTGACGTCTACGCTTTTGCTCGCGATTCATCGGCAACGGCAGATGCTCTCAATTACTTTCTTGTATGGGATGTAGGGCATGTGAGCGTTTCCGATGACTTGTCTGAATTAGAATATTACCCGAAGGACAATGCCCTCATCTCATGGAACTGGTCGTGGCTCCCGCAAAGTCAAGGGTACTCGTGTCAGCCTGCCTAAAGAAGCCTGTCGTGTTACGGTAATCCGAGATCTCTACCCTGGTGCCTCAAGAGCACAGATACAGATCGCGGTCATTTCTACACGTACCGGGTTCGCGAGGAGATCCAGGTCGATTCCATCATAAAGGCATGGGTCCACGAACGAACCAGACGTGGCGTCGGGCGGAAGCAACCCCCCTCGACGGCAGATGGCCAGCCCTTTGACCACGGACGCAGGGAAGAAAGAGACATGGATCTCCTCTCGCTAACCGAGAATCCTTCTTTTCTTTTTTCCTCCTTCGCTGCCTTTGATCACACATGCTTTCCCCGTTTTCCCGTTCCTGCATGGGGGGGTCTTGGTGGTTTCCACACCAATCACCAACGCAGCTTTTCCATCTTCGCTTCAGCCTGTGCATATCTAGTTTGCTCTAGGTCGATGCTGTCATCAGCCCGTTGTTGCCCGTTTGATAAAAGATGGCTTTTTCAAGGTTACCTTCCACCTGCTTACCCCGACCTAGCTGACTCTTCCTGGCCAGCCCCTCCTCGCGAAAATCTCGTTTCGACTCCAACAACGTGGGATGCGGGTGGGAACGCGTGAAATAGCTTCCCTCTACTGCACGACACCATCCATCGACAGTTTGACACCCTTGTCCCCCGTTGAACCGCGTGTGGCACACCACCATCACCCGACCGAAAAGGGCTCGTCGTCCGGGAGCCTTCGTGCCACCGAGCCACCCAGCCAACTCAATTCTGACGTCTCACTCGAGAGGCATGTCTGGCATTCTTAGGGTCTCACTACGGAAGCGGGAAAGGCAGCATTAGCTTCCACAAGGAAGAGATTTCCCCCCATCTCCCTCCCTTACCGTCACAAGCCACTGCTCATCAGTCCAACCTTTTCAGAAGCGCGCGCATGACGGCAAAGCTAGGAAATGCGAGGACGGGACGGGAGGTAGAAGCCGGCAGCCGTCTCAAGTCCGCTGTGGAGGTAAGAGATATGAGGGAATATCATTGCGGCCATGGCAAGCTTTTGCTTTCGAGATGCCCGACCTAGCATTGTGCATTCACTAAGCAATACTTCCGGCTTTCCCGTCACGCCGCCATGAAAGTGTTAGTGATGTGGCTGGGTGGTGCGCCGCGCGACCATGACGATCCTCCGCTTCAATACTTGTAGGGAGTGGCAGACAGGCACGTTCAGCTGATAAGAATTTGCGACTTTCTCACTATTTACGAGCGTACTTCCAACAATGAGGCCTGAGCGAATGTATCGTCACTCGACTAGCCGAGCATCGTTCCACTCGTCGCAAAGGGATCAACCTCAAGCGCAGCACTTATGATAAGCCTCGCTGAGTGAAAATTTACGGAAATTATCACCAGTCGTTATGGCAAAGAAATTCGGTGTGACATATGCGGCTCAAGATGAAAGGGCTCGAAGGGCCGTGAGTCTCGGGTAGAAAATATGATCAATCACGGACAAACGAGTCAGCGGCTTCCCCTGGCTCAAACAACGTGATCCAATCGGAAAATGCCTCTCGACGCCTCAAGGGGCTAGCATGGTGCCTGGCAGATGCTTTCAAAGTCTCAGTTTTGTGAAACTATAGCTTTGGATAGGTTGCATAAGCTGTTCTATCCTGCAGTAGTCAGTGCAGCTAAGCTCAAGTCTACGACACTTCAAACGTAAGCGAGTAAGCAAAAGCCTCATCGTGACTAAGTGGTAATCGGAATGATGGAAGTAAACAATTTTCAAGCTGGATCACCTGGAAGATGAAAGCCATGGAACGACGGTGTGACTGAAGTGGGAAATGCGATTTCCACCTTTGAGGGTTTCATTTGATACTCCAACCACACAGCTCTGTAACGCAAGGGGGTTTAACTTGGATATCTTGACGGAGACCAATGAGATTGGAGGTATCATTTGTTCTAATGACTTGGCTAGGGCGGTAATTGATGCAGGTAATCTTGAATGTATCTGGCAGCTTGGTCGATGTTTTCCGCATGAGATAACGCGGGTTTTGGAAAATATAGGTATTCGATCCATGACACAGGCCAGCTTGACATCAGTCAAGCCTTATTACGCAAAGTTCAATTGTCCCAAGCATAGGTCGAACTATAGTTGATTCAACGGGGTAGATATTGTATCGGCTATCTCATGTTCACTAGATGCAATGCTCCTCAGTTTCACGCCACTTCAGAGTAGAAAAGGTGAGCGCGGAGTCACTGACTATATTCTCACAGCTCTCATCCCTCGGTGCCCGACCCGTGACAATGTGCCTCTTCTGTTTACTCCTTTATGTTCTTCTCGACTTGCTCGTATGATTCACCAATCACCGGTTTCAGTAATTGGGGGAGGACAACTGCTGCATCTCCTACAAACACCCAGTCCTTATCCGGTCGGATATGTCTGGCGTCTTCAGCTCGAGTGTTGATAACAGCAACTCTTGCGCCCTTCTTGCGAGCCATCTCAGCATACCCAGCCGCCGGCCAGACCTTGCTAGTGGTTCCAATTGTTAGAAACAAGTCAATAGGCTCGGGATCGTCGAAAAGCGCTTGTGCTTCCTCAACAACCTCAACGGGCAGTGGCTCGCCGAACCAGACGACGGCGGGGCGGAGGATGCTGTTCTTGCACTTAGGGCATTGCGGCAGATCCTTGCTTTCTAATCCCGATGACAACCGGACACCGGCAATGGGATTCGAGGGTGCCGGTTGGTCCGGGGCTTTCAGAGCAGTCAAATCCCGCGTGGTCGGAGTGTTGCCCTCATACTTGTCTCCGAGGATCTGCGCATGTTTTCGCGCGATGCCGGCTAACAGCACTGGGCTGGCGCGAGGCTTGTTGTCCGGATCGATGCTGCCGATGGTTCTCTCCTCGTCCTTTGAAGGATCGAGTGCCAGCGAAAGAGATTCCTCAAAGTTGTCGCGCTCGCTGTACCCGCATCCAATCACGTCGACGCAAGACAGCGCAAAAAGGTTGCCATGGAGCTCCTTCAGCTGACTGGGCGGATGACCAGCCCGAGGGCTCAAGTTATCGACATTTTGCGTCAACGCGACGAAACCAGGTACTCTGCGCGCAAGCTCAGCCAGAGCATAGTGAGCAGGGTTTGGCTTGGCACGTAGAGCGTCGTGCCTGCGATATGTATAGAATTGCCAGACGAGGCCCGGGTCGTGACGGAAGCCTGCGGGCGAAGCGACTTGCGTTATGTCCTGGTTCCTCCACAGACCATTGGCTCCTCGGAAGGTGGCCAGGCCCGAGGATACGGAAAGACCCGCGCCGATGACAGCAACGATGCGCTTTGACTTATTGAGCGTGTCGTGGAAGTCAGCGACCGCAACAGGGTTTAGGGTGGGCTGAGTGATAGTTGAGTCGGCCATCGAATCTTGGCGTAGAGATGATACAGGTGAGGTCGGGTTGAAGTTTGATAGCTCGATGCTTCGAGGGGTCAAGAGGGAAATTGCATTCTTCAAATATCTCTCAGAGTTGTTGTTGGTTGCCTAGAGGAAATGCGGCAAGGCGACAAATTTGACACGTCTTCCTGGACCCCAAAACCAACGCGGCGAAGCAACCAACAAAGAGATGACAAGTAACATCAGTCCCCTTTTAGAACTGTACATGGCTGTTGGAGATGACATTTAGGGGCGATAAACCAACGCTGGACTGATGTGAGCTTGGGGCGTCTCAAGATGCAAGGGGCCGGTGCCTGAGCAACATATTTTGGCGAAAATGTCGAGACTCTATTGGCTGGTGACAGCCATCATAAGCTGCTACAGATGTCCAAAGTCAACTACAGGTCAAATTACGCCTGGCTTGGTTCACGAGCCAGCTCTACTGCCTTTTGCGCTGCTTTCCCAAAATCTGCTTCGGTATGCAATCCAAGATTCGCTTCCTCCAACTATGTATTTCAATCAGCATACTCAATACAAGATGATACCTGAATGGTCTAGGAATAACTTACGATTTTCAGCCCCAGCTCAGAATTGGTACCTTGAAGTCGAACCACCATGGGAATTTTGAGCGGGCCCAGCTCTTTGGCTGCGCCAAGTATGGATTCTGCGATCATGTCGCCTCGGGTGATTCCTGCGAAAAGGTTATCAGCCAGAGAACTGAACGCCGAGCCTCCTTTATCAACTGTATGGCGAACTTACCACCATAGATGTTGACAAATATCGTCTTTACCCTCTGGTCTCGCAGGATAATCTCAAATGCCTTGACCATGGTCTCCTTGGTCGCTTGCCCACCCGCATCAAGAAAGTTGGCACTGGCGCCGCCGTGCAGGGCAATCGCGTCGTTGGTCGCCATCGCGAGACCTGCGCCATTTACCACATTGCCAATGTCACCGTCCATGCGGACATAGACCAGCCCGTACTTCTCAGCCTCGACTTCTTCTGCAATTTCGTGCTCCGTGTCTCGCTCTGCAAAAAGTGTCTTTTGCCGCTTGGCGGCAGCATCGTCGAAGGAGAACTTGGCGTCCATACAAGTCAGACCTCCTTCTGGTGAGCTGGCTAGAGTCTTTATCTCAAGTGAAGAGGCGTCTTTCGTTGTAAAAATCTTGTAAAGCCTGCCGAGGATATCATTCAGGTCTTCCTTCTCTTTCGTCGAAGCTCCGAGACATCTCGAGACTTTGTCGGCGATTTCAGATGTGATGCCCTCCGTGAAGCTAAATGGGAATGTATGTAGCTCATCTGGATGTTGGTCTGCTATCGTTTCGATGGCAACTCCGCCAAATTTGGATGCGATGATCGTTGGACAATAGTTTTCGCGATCAAATGTGATTGCTAAATACCATTTTTTCTCGGAATTCAGGCTTTCCGTGACATGAAGCTTGTTAATAAGTATACCATTACCTAAGGATTTGCCAGTCTTCAGATAGTGACCGAGCATGCGATCGGCAACTTTCTCGGCACTTTCTGCATCATTGACTAGTTGGATGCCAACCCCTGAACCGTTGTCAAACGTGCCATCGTCGATGTCGCCCCTCAATACTTGTGATTTGAGTGAGCAGGTTCCGCCTAAAGATGTCAGGATCCATTCGGAAGCTAAGGAAAGAACATAATCACCAAGCTCTCTGGCAATCACTGCAGCTTCAGCTGGCGTTCTTGCGAGGTGTCCTCTGGGTACTGGGATGCCGAACTGATAGAAGAGCATCAGCGACCTATTCCAGGTACCTCGTCTTTCGTCGCCGCCAGAAAAGATAACCTCACCTCCTTCAAAAGGTTCTGCGATTGGTATTCATGTAGCGTGAGCCGTCGAAGTTGTTGCTTCGATACCAGCTAGGGGGGAATCAGCGATTTGTGCTATCATGTGTGAAGGCAGAGTGCCTACATTTGCTTGGCGCCGCCAAAGTTTTGCTATCAGATTCCGAGTTGTCATGATGTGATATATGGGCGTATCAAATTCAATATCGAAAGATCATCAACTCAGTTTTGAAATGATCGAGACGACAGTTCACAGCAATTGCCTATGGAGGGTATGGTATGGTTGGCGGTGATCAGATACGTCATCCAGACAAAGGCAAGCTAGCAATGCTGTGGCTGGCTCTGAGGGGGCAAATAGCCGAAGGTTGAGCGTTGTCGGTTATATCGGCTATATCATCTTCAACATCAGGTGAAGCCGATTTCAATGACGCCAAATTGATTGTAATTGAATACTCGCAATCCCAATTGAGACGACGATGAAATCCTGACTTGCATCACACCATAATTCACAACTACTTTGATCAAACTTGTCCGCTCAATGTAGCAATGACAGTGAATTGAAACAGCTCAACGAAGCTTATGAATCTAGGCTTAGTCTCTTATTATCCCCCTTGCAAGGATGATGGTCCGGGCCAATCAACCTCCATGATGCTACGGTTGTGGACATAGCAAGATAGGTAGTCAGGCGCGGTAGCCGCGCTATTTCTTATTTCCAAGCCCCTCTTTCCAGCCAGACAGTTGGGCGGATTTTGAGCAGGCAGATTGTCAGCTTTGTTTTTGCTTGGTTCTGACGAGGCACCTGGATTATGATTTTGCCGAGTGCTCTCAGTCGATAAAGTCAACGTCACATTTATCTAATCCTTTTGAAGTGGCCACGGCATGAGGAGATTGCATTGCGCAGATGACGATCCATTACCAAGTCACAGATGGTGAGCCATCACCTGGTGTGAATGAATGGGATCTGCTGTGTGCTTGTGAGAAACGGCGCGGATGGCATAGGGAGCTTACGTACGCACAGATCCGGCATGCTGCCATGAACTCGTGCGGCATCTGCGGCGTGTACAAAAAGGTGGTTGAGGCGGTCGTTGATGGGTGTCTTCCGGCACTGTTCCAGGCTACTCGGAACGAGACAGAAAGAGATCAAGTTCTTGACGAACTTATCGTAGGAAGCATTGGCCTCACAACAGCCAATACCGAGGAGAGCATGGATCTGCTCATCAAAGGAGTCCGTGTCCGAGTCTCTCTCTTTATAGACCCCGAAGAACAATCTGGTTTCAGAGTCTCAAGCCAAGGAACTGAGGAGGTCGGTTTCCCCAAAGAAACCCAGTTTGGACCATCGACAGACTCCGATAGGAGCTTTTCGAGGGCACAACAATGGCTTCGGCAATGTGTGGACCACCACGACTGCGGGAAGGATCGTGGCTCATTCTACCCACGCAGACTCCTTGATCTTCGGGATAACCAAGTTCGACTCGTCGAGACTGCCAAGGCCACTGGTTTTCAGGGGCCATACGTCTGCCTAAGTCACCGTTGGGGCGACGCAAAATTCTCACGTCTAACAAGCACGACTGGAAATATACATATGCACATGGAAGGAATCGAATGGGGCGACATTCCAAAGACATTCCAAGATGCCATCGTCATCTGTCGACGCTTAAGTGTGGAATATCTGTGGATTGATACGCTATGCATCTTGCAGGACTATCCAGGCATGTCAGACGAACAAAAGCGAGTAACGAGTGCGGATTTCGCAGCCGAGAACTCAGCCATGGCGCGCATCTATCGGAACTCCTACTTTACCATATATGCAAGCGTCTCAACAAGCATGATTAGCGGAATTTTCTCGCCCAAGCGTTACGAAAGCCATCAAATCAAGATTAGTGATGCCAATGGCAACGAGGCGATTCTACGCATCCGAGAAAGGACTTCGCATTTCACACGACCCACAGATCTGGAGACGAGAGGCTGGACGTTCCAGGAGTATCTGCTTCCTTGTCGAATTCTAGAATTCGGGCCTTTTGATATCTCTTGGAAGTGCAAGCAAACCTACATCTGCGAATGTCAGCATAATACGGGGGCGGCTCATTGGCGCGAGGAGTTGGCTCGACGTGCATTGCCGCCCCAGAATGCTGCAGAAACTGAGGAGTGGTGGGCAGGCATACTTCGACAGTACACGATGAGACACCTGGCAAGAGATGAGGACAAGTTACCTGCTCTCTCCGGGTTGGCACAGCTCTATCACCAACTAACGCGCGATACTTACCTGGCGGGCTTATGGAAAGCGTCTCTTCCTCATTGCCTGTTGTGGTTCAACACTGCAAAAGCCGGCACATACCCGATGAAGCTTGGGATAGGTCAAAGACCTGTGACAGCCCGTGCGCCCTCCTGGTCCTGGGCTTCGCTTGATATTGTTAATGACGCACAGTGCCGCTTCTGGTGGCCACGGGTATCGCTTTCTACGAACCCTGTCATGTACGGAGACGGTGCTACACCGCGGCCGGTATGCACCGCGTACGAAGCCACTTGTCAGCCGATAACGGATGATCCGTTTGGTGAGGTGATAGGGGGCTTCGTCGACCTCGATGTATTGCTTATTTCTGCGAGGATCGGCACCAAGCCTCAAGGGGATGATAGCTTCAGCACGGCTGGCGATGTAGCTTGGACACTGGATTATGTCGAAGACGGTACAGATGTTCATGTATGTCTAGCTGACTGCAGCTTGGACGATGACAGTCTGCAAATTGGAGACGAAGTGTTTTGCGCGCCAATCGTGGAGACACTCTCGGAATCAGAGTCAGACAGGGGCTGTTTGGTGCTCAAGCGCATGCTCAAAGGATCAGAATTCAGACGCATAGGTTTTGCCGTCTTGCGCAAGAAGAACCCTAGCTGGGACCGGGCGAATGATCCGCTTAGGATGCATAGGGGATGGGGGTACAATAAGCCGGATCTAACGACTTCAGAATATGCTGAGAAGGTTCAGAGTTATGCCCTGCCGTACAACTCAAACGTACTGTGCCGTATTAGAATTATTTGAGCTGGCTGAGAAAGCTGACAGATTCACGAGGACTTGCTCTTGAATTCTGTAATTGTTAACCCATGAGCTTTTTGCAGTTGTGAAATATTGTAGCCAAAACAGCCTAAATTCATGTTCATTCAAATAGCTCTACCACCATCGACCTCCAAGTTGACACCAGTGATAAACTTGCTCTCGTCCGAAACCAGGAATACAGAGGCATCTACTACATCTTCAATCTCGCCTAATCTTTGCAAGGGGACGTTTCCGATGAACTTTTGACGATTCTCCGGCGTGTCCTTCATACCAATGAAGGATTCGAATCTGCGCATGTGGATGAGCAACAGCCAGATGGCTCGTAGGATTTCAACTTACAGGCCAGTTCCAGTCAAAAGAGGGCAGATGGAATTCACACGAATCTTATGGGCACCATACTCGGCCGCCAGTCCCTTGGTTGCCTACATTCTGATTAGCCAAGTGCCGTTTACCTATATCAGTCACCCTCCACTTACGTTGCAGACGGCTCCCTTGGAGGCATTGTACCACACAAGGCCTGGCCGGGGGCGCAGAGCTCCAATCGAGGAGATGTTGAGCATCACGCCGCCTTCCCCTTGCTTGATGACTCTCGGCATGAACGCCGCGGTGCCGAGGAAGATGCCCTTTACGTTGACGTTAAAGACCCTGTCGAACTCGCTCTCCGTTACCTCAACCGTAGGCTATGGTAGTAGGTAGTCAGTGTTTCATCCCTTACAAGTCATAACTGCTTAGGTCCCAAGACAGATGTGCGGTAATTCTTACCTTGTTCCTATAAGTCGTGCCGGCGTTATTCACGAGACAGTCGATTCGTCCGTAGCGCGATTGTGCGGCATCCATCAACTTCTCCCAGTCCTCGGCACTTGTGACGTCTGCTTTGAAAAAGGAAATCGAACCGGGTGCGCTTTGCGCTACTCTTTGCCCGTCGCTCTCATTGATGTCGGTAATGAGAACTTTGGCTCCTTCTTGCGCAAATTTATTGGCGATGCCCTCACCGAAGCCATGTCCTCCGCCTAGCGAGTATCAGAGAGCCCAGAACACGATCGAAAGTGGAGATTCTTCTACCTGTGATGATGACGACCTTTCCAGCTAGTCTCGATCCTGCCTTGGTATCACTCATGTTGATTGCTTCTTCTTCTTCTCAGATGTTCAGATACGGATACAATTATTGGGGTAGTTGATCAAGATCGTTTGTTGATTTTTGCCAAATATCAATTCATTTCTAATATGTCACAATTGTAACCCCTCACTTAAATAGCCATAGAGGTTGTACAGCGCATAGCGTTTATACTGAGACCGCGACAAAGCACATTGCATCATAATAAGGCGGGGAGGTGCGGGGATTAGCACGCCGGGCAACGAATTCCGTGTACCGCCGCGGCACGGTCCGGCGAAACCCTCCACGGCTCGGTTATACAATTGATTTTCCGTTGTCTTTCTTTTTCGAATTGATCAGGTTAGTACCAACAACGTGGACAGCGATTTGATATATGCATGTTGTCTTGTTCGGATCTCGGTGACAAGTGCAGGATGCGACTGCCCAGCACACCCTCCATGTTGAATGCATGTGACATCCGCTCGCTGTCATAAGATTTTGTCCGTGAGCTTCAGCAACAAAGTCCACGAGCAACTGTAGATGTCACAACTCAATCTTTCCAGGTCGGTTACAGTAGCCCACGACTTCGCACTTGAGAGTCATTTACTCCAGAGCCTCTTGAGAAATCTTCACTTTGTGTCAAGTACTCGGGGCCATTATGCGCCGTTTCCCTGAAGTCAGTGAGGAAATGAAGTTCCTGGGAACGCCACCCTGAATCAATCGAAGAGAGATCTGAGCGACACCTAGATAACGCAAGCGTCGCAATGCTTAAGTCGCATGGCCACCAGAGAGTTGGCATATGTCCTAGCACTTATTGCTTAGCGAATGCAGTTTACGGGGTATAGAGTTGACTCATATTGTTGATGCAGGTGTTCATCCATTAGAGCACGAGTTTTACCACTCCTACATCCATAGATCAAGACACAAAGCTTACTGGTGCTAGGTCGTCAAGGCTTCAAGCCGGTTGCTGGGTTCTAGGGAGTAAGAGTAACACCTCCAACACCTTATTACAGTATCATTGCAGCAACGACTAAGCATGTGTCAAACTCACCGAGTCAGGTTTCCAGAACCCACTCTTGATGTCACTTCCGAGCTCAGCTTCCGAATGGGAAGACGCAAGGAATTGCTGTTCGTCCTAACACAAACGCGTTCTAGAGAGGTCTTGCGCTGCCTCACTCGGTCTCCAAAGAAAAAGCGTGGGGTCTCATCCCATGATCTCCAAAGTTTCATCTTCTGCCAGCGAAACCACATCCATTGACTTCACGGCTCCTCAACACCCCACACGACTAGTTCATGCCCCCATATACCCCGCATGGAGCTATCCGTAGGCATTTGGAAAGATAAGCGGCTCCTGGTCGGGGATTGCCCCGTCCATAAGTCCCGACTACAACAACCGTTCCGCCAAGATGGTTGCGCGGGCCAACCGGTCAAGTTTGCGGGGTGCTCCTTAGCTGAACTCTGTCCGAGGTGTGTTCGGCATCAGGTTTCGAGAGGGTAGGGAATGCGGCAGATGTCAATCCCCATACCTGCGGGCGTTGAATTCCCGCAGGCGCTTTTCGGAGTGTGCTTAAATACCGAGTCCGTGTTATATCTCGAAATTGACGACACCATTCAGTTTCTCACCAGTTTATTGTCCTCATCCACCAAACACGATGGCTACTATTCAGCAAACACCTGTGCTGGGGGTGACCCCAAGCATGACTCAAGATCTGAAGTCCTCGACCGAGCATGTTGAACATGTCGAGCACGTGGAAGACAAAGCCTCTTTGAGCCAACAGACGAGTCTGCTTGGGTTGAAAAATATTGAGACAGAAGCATATGTGGTGGATAAGTTGAACGCTGACTTTGAGCTGGTTCCGATCATTCTTGACGAGATCCGGCCAAATGAGGTTCTTGTTGAGATGAAGTACAGTGGAGTGTGTATGTCAAATCCAACGATAACCTTAGAAACATCTCATGCGTCGGTCATTGACAGTATTACAGGTCATACCGATATAGTAACACAGCAGGGCGGTCTTCCCTTCGTTGAGTTTCCTGCCATTTTCGGTCACGAAGGAGCGGGTGTAGTCCGCGACATCGGAAGAGACGTCAAAATCAAAGACCTAGCCATTGGTGACGCAGTTCTCCTCTCCTTCAATCACTGTGGATCATGCAAGACCTGTACGAGCGGTCATTGTGCGCTCTGCCCAGAATCGTCAATGATCAACATCAATTCCGTACGAGTAAGCGACCGCAGCACACCAGCTCGGCTAGCTTCGGATGGCCGTGCTGTCCGAAGTCAATTCTTCGGGCAGTCATCATTCTGCAAGATGTCTGTCGTCAATGAGAAATCAGTGGTCAGGTGTCCACCGTCGGCGGTCGAGCACATGGGAGTCTATGCCCCACTCGGATGCGGACTCCAGACCGGCGCCGGAACGGTCATGAACGTCGTCAAGCCGGGCAAGGAAGACTCAATTATCATTTTCGGACTCGGAAGTGTGGGTCTTGCGGCGTTGATGGCAGCACGCTACCTCGAAACCGGACAGATCATTGCCGTCGATATTGTTCCCGAACGCCTTGTGCTTGCAAAGGAGCTTGGAGCCACCCACATTATCAACTCGAGAGAATGCAGCGATGTAGTCCAAGAGATCAAGAAAATTAGCAATGGGGGTCCAACATTCGCTGTAGAATGCACTGGAATCTTGAAGGTCATTGAAGACATGATTGCTTGCATCGGTCCCTTAGGTACAGCTGTCCAAGTTGGGGTACCGCCTCCAGGAGCGGCAATCAAGCTCGACCCGCAAGAGTTCCTGATTTGGAACAAGAAATATGTTGGCGTAATTGAGGGAGATGCGGTTCCTGCAGAGTTCATTCCCAGATTGATCTCTATGCACCAAGAAGGCAAATTTCCCATCGACAAGTTAGCTGGGTTTTACCCAGCATCACAGTTGAACCATGCCATACAAGAAATGGCTGCCGGAAAGGTGAGTTGTCTAAGCTTCCGCCCACTTTCTTCGTCTTCATCGAAAACTAACCAAACTCAAAAAGGTCATCAAGCCAGTGATTCAATGGAGTTAGCCCAACATCGCCGTGGTCAGGTAGACAAAGCGACTGGATGAACATGGCTGGACTAAAGAGGCCTCGAGCAAATGATCGTCAGCGGGGTACATATGTTTAGTATAGAGATATGTCTGTCAACTTGTTCTAGATCTGATTTCACTGCATACTTCCACGGGGTCCCGCGGTTAGCTAGTAACTATGAAAGCGCCAGGTTAGCTGGCTTGTCGATCCCATCTCCACTGATTCAAGGGTTGGAACGGAGCACGCTAAAGCAATGGTTGATCACTCTTCGAGAGATTGGTCTCGCCTAAGAAGTGAGAATGTGTGTTTAACCCAACCGTCATCTGCAATTCAATTCGGCCCCAATTGGCTGGCAAAGAGATTGTGCCGTGTCTCATCAGATCGTTCAACGCCACTGAAAACCTCCTAGAGTCACAGGAATGCGTCTCACTTCAGCCCTGCTGCCGGAAGATTAGACCATACCGCAAACGGCTTTCATCACGATGTATTACCGCATTCTCCAAGCCCATGCAGAATCACTGTCTCACGTGGCTTCCTAGAGCACCTTTCGTTCAAATCAGCCATGTATACCGCGGCGGGATCGGTCCGGTCCCGCACTGGAGAAGCCGTTTTCCTTTTCTTTTTGGACTGCCGGGGAGTTAGTGTGTTCGATCCCGCGGGAACTGACTTTTTCTCTCTCATTGCACTTAGCTGAACAATATCTTGGAAACCTTTCGCGTGCCTCTATGAATACTGGCAGGGTCACAGGGATTGTTTGGTACCCGAAAATCATAGAAGTCAAATTAATCAGCTAATCTCAAGCTTCCCCTAAGATATCTCTGTTGTGATATCAATGCCCACCATCACTTGGGAGTGATCAATTTTGTAGGTGCCGAATGAAATGTCACCGGCGGTGGCCGACTGGGTCCCTCGTCATCTGAACCCCAAAAGTTCAACTTTGCAATGGCCATGTTCGTCTTCTCCTTCATATCATCGCCATACACCCACAAATGCTTCATCTTCCTCGTAGATTTTTTGAGGTGTTCCTCTGCCTTATTCTGGAGAATGGGGGCCGTCTGTAATGGAGAAACCCAACCCGCTTCATCTGTCGGATCATGATGCAGACAAGCTGCCAGCACGATCGATTTGAGGGATTCTCGGCTGCTGAAGTCTCCTGCCAGGTCTTCCCATCTCTGAGCGGCAAGATCGCCGGCCTTGATGGATGATGTGGAACTGCGCGCGGCCACCCAAACTGGCAACCGGCATTCCAATCCCCATCGGTCTTCTTCAGAATCCACGTCCCACCCACGAAAGATGACAGCCTTTCCGCGAACATCGCGAAGAAGAGGCCATTCTTTACCCGTGTACAAGAGCTTTTCTTTCTTCATGTCCCTCTTGAAGTCTTTGTTGAAGTTCACCGGCACATCGTCGTAATTGATGCTGTAACCCTCGGACCAATGCTTGTCGGCGTCATACGTCGCGGACGCGGATGAGAAACTGAGCATGATCATGACCGTTTCATCCTTATTCTCTTTCAAGAAGTCCCTGACATGATCAAGTACGTCGTCGAGTTGCTTTTCAAGAACCAGGGGGCCGTGTCGTAGCCTGCGTTCTCCGTCACATCGTAGGTCGAGCAGTCGAACGCCGTTTTGCAGTTGAGTGCGAATACTGTCTTTGTGGCACTTGTGCATGCTGAGCAACCTTGACTTCAGCTTCTTGTCCCTGATTTCCGGCTCAACGTCAATGTTCGCGACATCGTTGATCCAATAGGTTGAGGCACTGCTGCAACGAGTTCCCGGTAAGCTCAAATCCTTGACGCACATTTCGTCTGGGAGGTGCTTCATCCAGGATCTGGCAGAGAAATCTGTTCTGCCTGCATGTTAGATCGAGGAAAGTCGCGCCATGGTTCAAGACTACTTTGCTCACTTGGGCTGCATGACACATTGCCGCTTCTCAAAGTCAAAACTGGCCGTTGAGCCCACGTAATCCCAATAACTATCGATAGTCAGTAGTGCTATTGGAGCTTATGACCCGGGCAATGTAAATCTGGAACTCACTTGGTTGCTTTCATGTTCTTGTTACGGTATTGAAAGCCCCCCTCAATGATAATGTAGTACTCGAAATGATGTGTGCCAGTAGTGAGGTTCCAAAGGTTACTGAGCTGGATAAGTTCAACACCCTTGCGAACCCATCGCGTCCCGGGCATAAGCTTGAGAAATCCTCCATCAGAAGCCCAGAGTACGACATGATATTGAGGGTTCTGCGCCTGCAAAACCTGCAGTCTGTTCTGAACAGGGCTTTTCGCGCTTGTCGGAAGTCCCACGGCCATGATTGGATTTTTGATTTGTTGCAGGTTGAAGATCAATGGAAATGCTTTCGCAACTGAAGAATGAACCATGCCTTGAGCCCCGAGACAGAGCTATATAGATGCTCACGGCAAGTCCGTTTCACTGCTTTAGATGCATGTTTCTCATGTCACACTGGCCTGGCTGATAGGTGACAAAAGTCCGGGGTAAGACAATCTGCATTCGTCCACCTAGGCTGAATACGCCAAGAAACCAACTCATCTCTCACACCATGCGGCTGAGCCGTAGTGAGACAAATGATTGCCAGAACTCTTTCCAGGCCGTTTTTGGTTTGGGTCACTCGTGGTTCCGGCAGGTACGCACGCGACCATAGAAACGATGGTAAGTGTCCAATGCTGGAGCCTGGAGCCTGGAAGTACTTGACTGGGACGATGACTGCGCCCCTGATACAAAATAGACACTACGACGTTACCTTGGGCATGGAGCTCTATGATATTGACCAGCCACCTTCTTTCAACTTCTACACCACACTTGCTTGTCATGGAAAGCGTTTACAATAGCCCGCCGTCGACACCCGACGCCAAAACTTTCAACGGTGCTACAAAAGGCCCACCTGACTCGGGCACGATTGTGACATTTCAACGCATAGACAAAGCATCACCTACGTCATCTCTTGGGGGGAAGGCTGATGCCACTTCTTTCCCAGTGACGGGAAGCCTTGTGGGAACCATCGGATTCGCCGTACTATTGAAGAAATGCGGCTTCAACGCCAACGCCAACGTTGGGATAGACGATGTCACCATGGCTAAGATCAAAGAGGGGATGATTGCAATTGGTCTGGCCAAGGAGTTTGACATATGGAGTTCTCCGTCGTCTATGCTCCTTGACTATGACCTTACTCTTTCGGAATACGTGAAGCAGGTTTCGAAGCTTACGAAAAATCCCGAGTTGAATGTGAGAATTTACTACGGTCTCAAGAAGGATCACAACGCACAGACAGTACAGGACATCTACAAATCTGGAGATTTTATCATCAAGATCGTCCAGATCAAGAAAGATAAGTCTCAGGCTATCCAAGCTCTCAGAGTGATGAAGTCGCCTCCAAAGGGTGCAAGCCGCGGTATCATTCATATCCAAGACCTAGGCTCTCAAACACTCTGGGATTTGAGAGATGGAATCACCGCAATGCAAGTCTAATATATTCTTGAATTACTCTGCACTTCTATTCCTGACATCACGAAGGTCGCAACTGAGAGATAAACACCACTTCTGCCTGCCGGATGAAACTCCTCTCCCTGATACAACCAGATTCGACGATTACATCAACCTGCTTGTGAGTATGAGCCCTTCCAATTTTCATTTTGAACATTCAGACTGAAACAACAACTCAAGAATGAGACATGTCCATATGAGAGTAGCGTGCCATCGATCAACCTCAGGTTTAAAGACGCTTCATCGTCTTTCGATGAAGACAATTCAAAGCCAGCTTTGACACCTTTAGGTGGCAACAAAGTAATTCAAAAGGCCGAGGTACGACACCATGAATCTGGATCCCAATTGACTGGCTGACGCATTTTCGCCACAGACCTCCAGGTTAGAGTGATCTGTTCACACATGTTTAACATCAAACTTGATTCACAACTGATACCTAACCTCAAATATCAGTATCTCGCCGTCATCACTTGATGAGTTGCAATGGGGTCTAGTCCTGAAGAACTGCCAAGTCATGCACGGCTGGTATTACGACCCGGTCAGCACCGAGATCAAAATGGCACCAAAACCAGGTGAGTCATTGATGTCCAACAATACGAGCTTCTACTAATAGTTGTATAGCATTCCGTCTCAAGTCAGGTTTGAATCTTGACTACAGCCCAGATAGTACAGTCTCCACCGCAGCTATTGAGGGCGCCATTCCCAACTACGGGGTCACGGACGGTTCAAAAATTGATGTCGTCACTACTGAGAGCGGTATCAAGCACTCTCTTGTTCGTAACAGCTTTGACAAGTCTTCTATGGATAACAAAATCGCTATTGGTTACTCAGGAATCGGTATCAACGTGGCTGGCGGAAAGTCCTTCGACTCCCAAGGTGAGCAGTCGTCAGCGAACAACAGGTCCATCAAGAGCATGATTGGTATATACAAGGTAGGCAGCACGCTACCAGGACCAAGTTCCCTAACTTCGCATCGCTTATCACCTCCTAGCTTCCCCGAGCCACTCTGTTTCTCAACGCGGATGATCTCGTTCCGACCAAGGCATTCATAGAGGGCATTGAAAAGATCAAGAAGCTAGGTGAGGAAGCAGACGAGACAGACGTTCGCAAGTTTTACGAAAGATTTGGTACGTGATGGTCCAATGATATATGCTTCCATCTCAGACAGGATGAAATATGTTGAAACCTCATAGGACAGTTCTTCTGCCACGAGGTTATTCTCGGGGGGATGTTGCTTTCGACAAAAGCTCTGGTTGGCAACGAATCCCTAGACGAAGAGAAAAACCGGTGTTCCTTCAAGCACGCTATTGGGATGTCTGTCTCCTCTGTATGCATACTATCTGACACAAGTTTACTCCTCTATCAAGTACCGTGAAAACTGACGACTAACTGTAGCCTGTGGAAGTCATTATTGGGGCGGAGTCAAAGAAGGAAATCACATCAGGTGCCGACCAAAGCATTGTTCGCAGCTATAAAGACAGCGATGATAGCGTGGTGTTTGAAGCTGTTGGTGGGAATACCATCTTGGCCTCCAAGTACAAGCCCTTAACCCCAAGACTCAGGTATAATCTAACGTTTTTACAGTCCACAACAATGGTGCGCAACCGTTGGGGATCACAACAATTGGCGAGTCATCGGGGTAACAATACTATCTGTCGTTAGTTTGGTGGCGATTTACTTTTTATCTAACGTATCACAGAGACAAGAGATGAAGTTGATTCTCGACTCGTTCAAAGATAGTGGAGATCATGAGCTCCGAGATGTCGTTGACTTGTTCACTAAAGCATCTCAACTTACTGTCTCCAAGTTCATTGATATTCCAAAGTCTGCGAAAATCATTGCGCAATTTCGTTTCAAGACGAAGAGTACGAATGCGGACAAAACACACTACCTTCGTCATGACATCTATAAACTTATTGACTTTGGACCTCAATCTGCGAGTGAGCAGAGGATTATGCCACAAAAGTAAGTTGCCATCCCGTATCATGCATGTGATTTCGAAAAGTAAACTCACATGGGTTATATCGTAAGATTCCAAGGGCCGCGAGTCGAACCATACGACCCTTCATGGCAAGATCACGATGGTCTCTGGACCATAGCTCCAGTGGCGGGAGCTGGATTATGTTGTCATGGGAGTCAAGGACGATCGCAATTAGTCGATGGCTCTAGGGTCACTATTCGCTCTGGGCGCGATTCGCAAACCGCCTGGTATCTCTCCGTCCTCAGAACGTCGGCGGGAATCTTCGTTCCCTGCATCACGACCTCGAAACATTTCGTATGGAGAGTCCGAGAAGTTCTGCGGCCCAACACCAAGAGCACCATTGCAAAAGAGCCTTCACCCGACAAACCTCTCAGACACGACGCGGTTCTGTGCTTGACCTTTGACTTTGAGGACAACCCCCGAGGGTACCGAGACTTCAAAGACGATGATCGCGGCTTCCGGAATGTAGAGTACCCGGACAAAGACACCACTCAGTTGGTGCTCGTTGAATCACGTAACAGGACGGATATATGGCCGGACCGCAGAGTTCTCCTTCTTGCCGACGGAGAACCCTTTTTTACAGAGTCTACTGCCAAAGTCGCGGACTTGAATGATTCCGAGATCTCTGTGAGAATTGCAAAGTTCAACATTGACGTCCGTGGTAAGTCCGCTTTTATATTGCTGCTTCTACTCACTCCGACACTCGAAACATCGGATGACTGACTTGCACGCACTTGCCTGTGCGGCATAGACCAAATGGATGACGACTACGATATCTTACAAAAAGATGGCGATTCCATCAAGGCGAGACACGATGAGCAGCAGAAGAAGTTGAAGACCAGAGAGGAGGGATCTTCAGGGTAGCCGTCCACTCGTAGTTCCTTTTTGAGATGGCAGACTAGTATATTTTCAAGCTTTATTTGGAGATAAGAATCAAGTTTCTTGTGCTTTCAGAAAAACTTCATCTCGGTACCCACGATTCTTACTATTCCATCGAGTCAGGCATGATGATGCCCATACATCGCGACTCAGAATCGCAACACACCACGTATTATTTGACATTCTTCCGTACTTGTATTATACTACTTCTTTCTTGTAAACGAAATTAGAAGACCCAATAGCGGATCTCCGTTGGAGGCGTACGTACAAATGCCATGCCGTGTCGAGGTTGGGTGCAATCGACGCCTGAAGTACTAAGGTAGTTTGGATCAACTTAAATTCTAGTATGACTTTTTTGGTCCCTCCATCATGCAATAAAAGCACCCTATGCCAAAGTCATCCAAGCCCTCAAAGTTTCCCCCGGGCCATTTCATATCTTGCCTCTTAGTTCGCATGCTACAATCCGGGCCACTTTAGGTAACATCAGTCGTCAAATCACGCGCGCACTAGAGGAAACTCAGGGAGGTCGGAAACTCACAAGAAGAACTTGCACGTTGCACCTTCGCCTGGACGAGCGGACTTGACTTGGCCACCCCAGTTCCAGTCAGGGTACGTCTCCAGGCCATCTCGGAAGCAGGCCCACCAGCAGTCGCCTTTCCAGTCCTTTTCAGTACAGAGATGAACAGAAACACAAGGTTGGTCCTCTCGCTTTTCTTTAGCTGCTCCGACGGGGTTCATATGGGTTCTGACTGTCGGGCCGCTGGATACGTCTGTGGTCGGCAATGGGGGTAGGAGGTTGTTCCAGTGCTCTTTCTCTAGTAGAGAAACACGGATAGGATTGATGAAGGTTGTCATGGAAGGGTCAGCTGCAGCGACCATGCAATTGGAGACAATGGCGTAAATGTATAGATTGAGAGCCAACATGATGTTGATGTGAACTGCTCAGAAATGAGGGAACCAGGGGCAAATCGTCGGTGCAATGGAATGGGAGAATCAAAATGACATCAGTTGACAGGTGCTACGGCGTTATTTCATCTTCGTCTTATGGTCTACTCAACGATTTATCGCGTAGCATCTTTCATGACTGGCGTCTTTAATGGTAACTACAAGGAAGCATCCCTCGATGTTGCAAAGCCCAGAAATGGCACAAAGAACGAGGAGACATATCAGTCGCTCGAAGTCGCACAAGACTCCAAGGACGGCAAACCTCGCACCAGGGATGCCTCCCCTTTGAAAACATTGCTCCCTAGGCTGGAAGGGAGCATTTGGGGCCTTCGAATCCGGACAGCAAAAGCTAGAGAGACATCATCCCGCTGAGAACAGAAGCAGTGGGCAAATGCTTTCACTTACACCTGTTTGACTAAGGAAGTAGTTTCTTCGCAGCGATTCTCAAAGTAACTTTGATTCTTCGAAAGCTGCACTTTCGCATTCCTCCGAAGCTTACTCCTCAAAATAGCTTCATCTGAGACCATCAGTCTTGCCTTTCCACCAAGCCGATCCAATGACCCCCCATCGTGGACGTTTGTCTCAAAGAAGACCTACAGATACGAAATTCTCCCCCAAACCCCAGAGTCAAGGTTGGATCTGTTAGGTCATTCCGATGCAAGCTCAACCAAGCCAAAGACGAGCCGTGCCACCACCTCCAAGTAAGCCATCAAGCCACCACGACGCAAAGCCCACGATACTCTGATAGGACGCCTCTTTCTGACTCCAACCGCGCTGATTGGTTACGAGGTTTCAGCTCCCAGAGCTGAGCCTCCTCCACACAACGCTCGTCATACCTCAACTATCATAGACAAAGTGGAAAGTCTTGCGGAGACTTTTTTTTAACTCCATCGCGTGATGAGTTAGAAATCTTCAGGTCTTGAATTTCATTGGCCATCGCTCGTATACCGCTTCTCAAGTTAAGCTTACATGGCCACTGGGTTCATGTAGCCTATTGCCATGAGATGAGGGGTTAGAAGAGTCGGTTGTAGGGCTGACGGGGACCTCACCCGAAGGCTGAGACTTTGGAGGCCAAGTCGGGCTGTGTCAGTTTACGAGAACATGTCAATGAGAAGGTTGTTAGGCGACATCTCGTGAGGGGTCCCGGTTCAGAGCCCTTGACCATGTTATGTGAGATTTCGAAGAGCTGGAGCAAGCCACGATACCTCTGTTTTTGCCTGGTCTCCATCGGTTCTAACAAGTCGTGAGATGGATACCTACCTTCAGGGCTTCGTCGTGTGGAATGAAGCTATAAATACAAGAAGAGTCTTCCATCTCTCTGGATGTCCATCTACCCTCATCACCACATCTCCAGCTCACAGAATACCACCATCCTACTAGATCCTACCGTCTTCAATCCCATCCCATACCCATCAATCATCAATCATCAATCATCAATCATCAATCATCAATCATCAATCATCAATCATCAATCATCAATCATCAATCATCAATCATCAATCATCAATCATCAATCATCAATCATCAA